ACTTTTCACCAGAAGCTCCACTTCCAGTAGAAACGGCAGGTCCTCGTCCCTCTTGTGCAACCCTGCCGGCTTCTGGTTTTATCTTATCTTGCTGTAATCCTACCCCAGGCTCCTCTAGAACCGCTCTATAATCTCAGTTATCGCTAAAGGGCGTAGGGACAAAAGAAGAGAGGGGGCCCGAGAAACCTGCTGAACAATGAAATCCCCAAATCCCAAACCTGTTCATAATCACTGCTGGCCACTTGACCAGGGCTCCTCACTCAGCTCTCGGGGGTTCCTTACTCTCTGGTTTTAATAAATTCCAACTCTGCTGTATGTTGTTTTGTCTTCAAATTCTATCAATGGTTTGACTGAGGATCAAGTTTTGCTTAAGTGGAGGTCTCAAAAAGAACTCAGTCCTGGCCAGCCCTGGTGGCACACACCTTTAATCTCAGCACATAGGAGGCAGAGGTAAGCAAGTCTCTAACTATGAGGCCAGCCGCATCTACATAGTGACTCCCAGGTTGGGCAGGGCTGCATGGTGAGACCCTGCCAAAAATAAATGAATGGATGAATGAATGTAAATAAATAAGAAATAAAAAATAAAATAAATAAACAAACAAAACCCCATTGCATGAGCTGGAGAGATGGTTCAGTGATTAAGGACACTTGCTGCTTTTGCAGAGAGCACTTGGCTTCTGTTCCACACAGTGGCTCACAAGCATCCATGTATAATTCCAGTCCTAAGGATCCAATGTGCTCTTCCACCCCTCATGGGCCTTATGCATACGGTGCACATGCATACATGAAGACAAACACACACATAAAAAATACATCTTATATATTAAAAAAAAGAAACCTCTGCCACTGATAAACATAAGGGCCAACATGTCAACACTAATGTTTGTTTTTCCAGTGCCTCTTCCTCTGCACCACCATCCAACCTATCATTAAGTCACAGTCAAGACAGCCCTCCTCCCTCTGTCCCTACGAATGCCATCAGCTCAGTGCACTTAGCTGCCTGGCTACCATGATTCATTCTCCTATTCAGAAGTCAGTATGATCTTTCTAGAACAAAATTCATGCAGTTTTATCATTATCATAAAACAATTGGCATTTTTGGGCCTCATTACTTTTCTGATTTTTGTTATTGCTGGTTTGTTGAGTATTTTTGTTGTTGTTGTTGTTGTTGTTGTTGTTGTTGTTGTTGTTGTTGTGACAGGATCTTCCTACCTAGCCCAGGTTGGCCTCCAACTTGTAGTGATGGCATCACAGATGCTTACTGTCACCACGCCTGCTTTCCTTGTCAGAGTCACCTTAAGTGCAAAAAGTCCAAAGTCCCCAACAAAGTCTTCAGGCTTCTCTTTCTTTCTTGTTCTTGTTCTTTTCTTTTCTGGAACTAACTCTTATAGACCAGGCTGGCCTCGAACTCACAGAGATCCGCCTGCCTCTACCTCCCAAATGCTGGGATTAAAGACATGTATCACCACCGCCTGGTGAGGGCTTTGCTTCTCAATTCTTGCTACACCTTGCTCACCCTTTTCACTTTTCTTCAGTCCCATTCTTTTAGAGCCTTTGCCGGTTCTCGAACCTGAGATAGGGCTTTCTTCCCTATTTACAGACTCCTCCCCTAGTATAATTCACCCCAGCCACGACAGAACACCTGGTCCTTCTCCCCAACTGTGCCCTTCTCTAGGCCTCCCTGGTACTCAGCTGTGTTTCTGTGTTTGCATTTTCCTCCATGCAGGTGATGTTTATCCAGGCCCCACTCTATTGTTTATTCAAGGACTTTGTCGCCTGTGTCCCTGGGCCTGTTGGTAGGCACTTAACTCTTTGAAGTGAAAGGGATGAATAGCAACTGTATTTGTCTAATTGGCCTCTGAAATACCTTCAATAGGACTCTCAACAGAAGCCCACGCCCACACTCTTGGGTGTGTCCATCTTTTCTGCTGAACAACTCTTTCTCTTAACCCTCAATGCTTAAAGCAGATAGATAGATAGATAGATAGATAGATAGATAGATAGATAGATAGATAG